GACTGGCTAGGCATCGGTCGGCGGGTGGTGAGCAATTGTACTGTGCATCACTTGTTTTGTGTATTATTATTATTATTATCATATTATTATTATCATTTTATTTCAATTATTAAACTGTTTTTATCTCAACCCACGAGTTTTTCTAACTTGTGCTCTTCCAATTCTCTCCCCCATCCCACCGGGTGGGGGGGAGTGAGCGAGCGGCTGCGTGGTGCTTAATTGCCGACTGAGGTTAAACCACGACACCATTGTAAACCTCCATGTCAACAACAGACCTGACAGGGTAGGTTTTTTCCTGTAACTGCATCCCAGCTTTGCTTCCTTATTAATCCAGCTGTGGCTTGTTTTCAGTGGACTTCACTGCTGGAGAAAGGAGTACTTCCTAAAGCAAGATGTAAAAAACCTTTTTTTTATAGTAAATGGTATAGGTACAGTAAAGAGGCCAGCCGTTAGGTTTACTTTTGTCTTGTTTTAGAGTGTTGTTTGCACTGAAGAAAGAAACTGTCAGGACTAGAAACTTTCTGGGAAGGAAAAGATGATGACCTCACATAATGATGTTTTTCCAACAGTGCAGGTATGTGAAATTCTGCATCAGGCTTGTGGTAAAACAGCAAGAATTGGCCATTGGGGTTAATGTGTATGTTTGGCTTCAGCTTGAGAAGACAGACTAAGAATTTGATTATTTGCAACCAGATTTATTTACCTTTTTTTTCAGTAGCAAGGACTTCCTAACACACAGAAATATAATGTATTTCAAGGGTTGTGTGAAAGAACTGTCTATCTGGAAATCAGATCCTTGGTTGTTTGGTCCCTTTGAGACATCAGAACAGAAGTTTTTAAAGTTGTCCGTAAAGCTGTCAGTACCATAGTTCTTGCACTGAGCGCCCTTGTCACGCTTCGGCATTTGTGTCAGGCCCCAGTGTCATGCTCCCTAGCTGGGAATAAATGCTACAGTTACAGGTGTCAGAAGAAGTCTTAGCGAAGTCCACGTAATGATTCTGTCTGGCCCTTTGGCAGCCAGTCCAGACCCGTATGAGAGAAATGGAGACAGACCAAAACTGGCAATAAGGAAGAGACACGAGTGTAATTTAAAAGGCACGGATGGATGTGGAGGTGTCCACAGTGCAACTGACCTTCACAATTTCTCGATGATGCTGTGACTGTCTAAAAGCAAAGTACAAACCTCTGTTTTATACACTGCATTTCAAGAAACTGGAGAATCCAGAGAAACAAGTCAGGGGATTACTTTCAAGCTTATTTTTGGTTAGGGTAGCCCCAATATGACAGGGTTATAAATAAAATGTTTCTCATCCTCTACTTACATGGAGTGCACTGTTGTCATTTTCACAACTCATCTTTCTCCTGTGGAGTTGCAAGAAAGCAGGTGGGTGAACACACTTGCTAAAAGCAGCAGGATACACAGCCATAGTGGCACCCTCCATACACTTCATAACAAACAAAACATCTCACAGGCTGGAAAAAAGCCGCAGTAGAGGAGTATATCGTATATAAATCATCTTTGTATATCATCCTGCTTTGTAAATAGCAGAATAGTAGAGAGGCAGGATAAGATTTTGGAAAAATACAACTGCATTATAAATGTAAAATTATAATTATCTCCAGGAACTGCTAATTGCTCTTTCCTAACTAAAGCTTAACCCTCTTTTATTTTGTTGGAGTCCAAGGAACATAGCAAGTCAGTCAGTTTCCCCCCTGGTGGGAAGGGGTACAGAGCTCTCTCAGGGTGCCTTCAGTCATCCTCTTTGCTGAAGCTGCATTACGCACCCTGCCACGGTTAGGACTAAAAGTTATTCACAGACTAGGGGAGCTATAACACTTGCAGCCCTATATCTGACAACCTCCTTTCCTCTTGGCCACCTCCCTCAACATCATCACCCCCACAGAGAAAAGGGAGAAAGATCTGTATCTGTAATTAGCTTCTGACTTTCACATATTTATGATCGGTGACATGGGCTGTGCCCCTGGATGAATTGTGTGACACAGGTGGTCTTTTTGCCATGCAGTGCTAGTTGCTCTCCTGTTGGCAGAAGGCCACATAAATGGAGGGGATTTTGAGCTCTAGAAATGTTCTCCTGTAATTTCAGGAGAACATTTGGTATTTCCTTTAAAGCTGCCTTTACTGTGGAATAACTAAAGTGCTCAAGAAGTAGTGTACTCCATCAGTACGCTTTGTTTTCAAGCCCTGTTACCAAAATGTTAGCTAAATGCAACAGTAAAAGAGATGGGCATACATGTACAAAATGTTCAGGAAGCCAAATGGTAGTGAGACCTTCACTGGTGTCTCTTTAAGAAAACTATCTAGCCTTAAATATCGTTACCTTCAAAATGTTCTGAAAAACATAATATTCCATTTAAACGTCTCTCCTTCCTATCTTGTCTACATCTAGAAGGAGTATTTATCAGGATGTCCTCAGTCCATAAAGTGGTTCTCATTATTTTTTTTTACTGCCTGCATCCCCTCGCTAGCTAAACAGATATACGAGGGTATTTTTCTTTATATGTCTGGAATGGGGGGACATAGCTCTGAAGGAAACAACTTTTCCTGCTTTGTGAAAAAGCTGACAATATACTTAATAAAGTGAAGGCAAAATAAAAGTAGCAGCAGAAGAAATCCACCTTTACCTGGGCTTAGATATA